CGTGTAATTATGTGGGAGGATGTGAGTGTGCGATGACGAGGGAATTGAAATATGATTAGACGAGTGATGGTGTGCTGGCAAGGCGATCATTATGGAGAAAGTTTTTTTTTTTATGTGTTTGTGTGATGAATTTATCAACTTTTGTCTCCCGGTGACAGATGTAATGGCAGGCCACTCCGATCTTTGCGGTTTACAGCTTTGATATCATAAAAAAATCATAGCAGAGAACAAACGTCGTCATAGCATCTACGTTGTTATTGTTATTACATTTAAAATATTTCTTTTTCTTCTTCATGTGCCATCTTCTAATGAAGGTCGGCGATCCTTATGGCAAACTGAACTTTGGACACTGAAGTTCTGAATAATAATCAGGTGCTCCTATTGAACCACTGGCGCAAATTTCGGGGCCAGGATATTCTCCTTCTTTCTACACCTCTCTTTCCTCGTATTTTGCCTTGGATTATTAATTGCAATAGGTCGTACTTTGGATTTCCCTGTATATGACCCAGATACTCCAGTTTCCTTCTTTTGATATTATTCAATACTTATCGTTTTCGATCAACACGTTGCAGTACCCTTTCGTTCGTGACTTTCTCTCTCTACGATACTCTCGACATTAATACGGAAAGAGTTTTTAATAATGTATAAAGGCAATCGATCATTTTGCGAGAAATTTAAGGATAGAGTGAAGAAAAAAATACAATATTTTGGTGATGAAAGTAGCCTACATGGAGTTGGATTCGTTTTTTCATCGTCAACAATTCCGTTCTATAGAAGGTAAGTTGTTTTAAGTGCTTCACTTTTCAAAATGAAATAATTTTTGTCGTAATTAACTTTATTGAATGACAGGACCTTACACCACTACGATATTCAATTGTTTTTTTTGTGAAATTACTCCACTAGTTTGTTATAATTATTTATGCAAACATCAAATACTTAGAAAAAATTCCTCCGATCCGGCTGGATTCGAACCAACGCCTTTCAGCAAACCGCGCAAGACGCTATGCCAATTAAACCACGGAACGAACCAGCGGAACACACGATTTTTTTCTATGTGATTGTTGCAGATCTTTATTTTTTATTTTTAACGATTATTTGCCGTAGCACCACATAAGAGGATCCACTTACGACAACGTTCTGGTGATTACTAACTGCGTTGTTGCCTTCTTAATTCTTATTTTAATAGTTGGCCTACTAATATCGATATCAATTTTTATTCAAATCCGTCTGTCTGTCTGTCTGCCACGGTATGCAAGAAGACGTCGGTTCGAATCCGACCGGGTCGAAGGACTTTTGTCTGAGTGTTCGATCTTTGTATTAATAATTATAACAAACTAGTGGAGTAATTTCACAAAAAAGAATTGAATATCAATTTAATAAAAATTTAATTGATACAGTGAATAGCGACATCTCTCGCCCGGACTGGTAGATGTAAAAGTACTAACTGGGTGATAAATCTTTCATAGATTTCTCATAGATGGCGCTACGACTAAAAAGTCTTTGAAAAACCAAATACAAAGACACGACGCAAGCACATAGAAAAATTCGTGAGGTCCGTTGGTTCATTCCGTGGCTTAGTTGGTATAGCATCTGCCACGGTATGCAAGAAGACGTCGGTTCGAATCCGACCGGATCGAAGGAATTTTTTCTGAGTGTACGATCTTTGTATTAATAATTATAGATAAATTATTTATACCAAACGTACGAATACATACATACAAAGTAAAAGTTGTATTACATATTAAATTTATAGTAAAATGAATTTATAAAATAAAACTATAATTAAATATATTAAACATATAATACTTTCCAGGTTATTTTGGTTAATTGTATTGTTCTGCTGCTGCATGGGCTTTACGGTCTTTCTACGAGGAGCCCTTAAGCTCTACTCCGAAGACCTAGTATCCTATTCCGTGGAGACCAATTACGTGACTTGGGATACCACGTTCCCTGCTGTTACAGTATGCGAGCCTTCGGATAAAGAACGAGTTCAGCGGTTTCTGACTAAGTATTTATATTTTTGAGGAACTATAAGATAAATATATATTTGAGCTCTTCGTGAAAGAGTTCGCACTGGGAGGTACTGCCACCTCACCTACTCCTGCCGCTAAACATCTGCCCAAGCCTGCAAATTTTCAATCATCTCAGTTGTGTGCCGATGGAATGTCAATGGCAGGTTTTTGTATATTTGATATTCAGCTAAAAGTTAAGAGTATAGCTTGTCGGTGGCTTGCCATAGAGCTACTATTAAAGTGTTGGAATAATATTCCACCACCTTTAAGACTTCTAAAATGCACTTTCAAGGAAAAGGTAAAGGCACTCCTTCTAGACTCTCAAATAAAGGGTACTCCACAGCACTTTGCTCTGGTAGCGAAAATTGTCTACATAACATTGTGTAATAGCACTGTCATTATTAATTCTTAATACTAATTTAATTATAAATAGGTAAAGCCTGTGATTTGCCTATTTATAATTAAATTGACTTTTATTATTAACATAGTTAAATTAAATCGGAAATAAATTTATCATTCATTATATTTATATTATCTTCCGTATTTACTAGTTTCGAAATTATTATTTGTTTAATTTATACAACATGGAAATGGCGTCAGCTGGCTGGTTGTCGTATCCGCGGCATCCTCTAGGTTATTACTACTGCTATAGCACACATACTTCGCATGTTCGGCAGTGCTGCCCCTCTGCTGGTATTCTTCTTTTTATTACATTACATATGTTTCTGTTATGTATGTGTGTCTGTAGATCTAAATAAACGTTTTATCTATCTTATTGCCATTGCAATTTTTTGGTATTCTACTCTTCAATGGCGTATTAATATTGTATATGTCGGAGTTAAGGCCGAAAAGGGAACACCCTTAACGCAGATTTAGCCAGGAATTACTTGATAATCGTCTTATTTACTCTTCGTTATCAATTAGTTCAGCCGGCGGTGAAATAGTGACATTTTTCACAGTAATTAGTCCGAAAGTATAAGAGATGGATGAGGTTAATACGGATTCTAAAAACTACGCGATAAGTTCAGAAAGAGCGAGGCGGTACGTCTTCAGGCGGTACGTCTTCAGCAACTTACAGAAAAAGCTCCCTCTCTCCGACCATACCTAGTTTGAACTGTCAGACTGACGTGACATTTGTAAACAAAGAAACCATGATCGAGACTAGTTAAAATGATTCGTAGGTAGCCTAGTAAATTGTTTATTTAATAAATTACGTTTGAAGTGATTGCTGCTTAAACGAGATAAAAATCAAGATACGCATTATAATTTCCGCGGTAGTTTAAGTAAGGCAACATCGATAGTTAGTAATTGAATGAATGAATGTGCCATAACTGCCATTCCACTGATACCCAACTGCCATTGTAACTAGATCTTAACAGAATAGCAAATATAGTCGCAATTGCAATGTAATCTCAACGGAGTCTCAATGGAATTACAACGAGCAGTGGTTTCAAGAAAATTAGCAGAATTGGGCTCCAGTAATGTGAGCATTATTACGTTTCGATAAGGTTGAAACTACAGGCACAAAGGACCTTTCAACTTATGTCTCAGGGTGACGGACGCGGTGGCAGTGCCTCTCAACCCTTTGAGATTTGGACCCCTTGCAGGTGTAGGGGGTGTCGATTTAGACCACTTTGGGAATGATCGGTCTATTACAAATTTATCCCGGAATGCGGCCTTTTTATCATATTAATACGTATTAAATTAATGAGACTTTTCAGGCTTTTTAAATTGTTAACCGTTATAAAAACTCGAACTCCAATCATTCTTTTGATTATGAATATAAAGATCGACGTACAAAAATTTCGTCGACACGGTGGGACTTGAAGCCACGTCCATGCTGCACCTTGACATTGCTCTTACCAACTGAGCTACGGGTCAAGTTACCGAGCCGTGGAAATTCTCTTGTGTTTTTGTTATAGATCTTGTGACATCTAATGAGAGACTTTTGAATAACCTTCTCACCGCAGCTTTTTCGCAACGAAGTTATTTCACAATCAATCAATCTCAATTAATGCAATCATTCTTTTCTAGAAATAACATACCATCCAGTATGTTAAAATTCCTCCAAGAAGTCGCCTACTGGAACGTGAATTACTGCAGGACTTGTAATAACTGTAAAATGAACCAGACTTGTGTGGAAAATTACCAGGAGCTGGTGCCGAAAATCAGGAGTAATTGCTCAGAGATCCTCACTGATTGCTGGTGGGCGAATAAGAAATTTCGTTGTTGTGACAGGTGGGGGATATTTTCTATAGATCTTTATATTTATTTATTTCATTTGGGGAGTTTACGGCTAGTTTTACTAAAAGTTATCGTATGTAAGCAAACATAATGCCAGTTAAAAGCTTCCACATGTAAATGTAAAAAAATTACCATTTTATGTATAAAAAGAAAACTGACCTCAAAAGTTTGTGGAATTACATCTATTTGCCAAGTTTTATTGAATCGGTTAATGGAAGTAGGTGAAATCCAATAAACCGGATTCTTCCCCTTATTTGCCACCCTTAGTGGTGGAATGTTTTTTTTCAAATTGGAATGAGACAACTACTAAGGTACCCCCTTTCCATAAAAAAAAAAGAATAATTGATATCGGTCGACTAATGTCGGAGTTATCGCGTAACATACACACACAAAAAATTACGGTTGAATTGAGCACTTCCCTTTTTTGAGAAAACACAACACTAACTCAGGTTAATGTGTTAGTGTTGTGTTTACAAGAACACAAGAACTGTCGTATCACTGACTCGATACAAATTCATAAAGCTAATTTTAACAAATGGTTCTTGAAAATGCAATTCAATTAAGTCTACATCCTCAAATTTCGTTTAATAATTGTAGCATTTATGGAGAGTTTCCATTTTCTGATTCACAAAACAATTTCGATTTTTAAAAAAGCATTCAGCGGAGTCTTTTAATGTTCAGTCTTTGTTCGTTCATCATTTATTTACCGAATTATTCGAATAAATTATTTCAGTATCAAATACTAGATTGTCTGTCAACTTTGCTATACATGAACTCCAATATTGAATGAGTCACGCTTCTTTCTATCACTATGTTTTCTCTTTAATTAATTTATTTACTTTAGAGACGTCTTTATGTACCAATACAGTATATATTAGTAGAATTTATAGCCCTTCTTCAAACATCCACGTCGTGAAACGTTAAGGCTTTCCGATCTATGTCTCAATGTCTATTGTATGTTTTATAAACAAAATTCAAATTAATTTAGTACGTAATATATCATTCCCTGATTCGTTTTCTGTTATTCAACAAACATATATTGCGATTTACATCTTGGAATTTGTAGGTATGTGAGGGGGCGAGTTCATCTACATTGTTAAGTTTGTATCTTTGTGTATTCAGTTCAGTCGCTCATTTTGTCGGTAATATTTTCTTACCATTGAATCTGCAATTTGAGTCAAATGACATTTGCGCGAAGCAATGGTCTGTAGAATGATAAAAATGTCGCATTCACAGATAAATGTTTGTACTCGTTATGAATACCATGAATATGAATTCCTATAACTAAGAGTGTATCAGACACTTCCATCGTAGAATACCGTAGCCGTTAAAAAATACTGCTTATTCACAGTCTATTTTTGTAATAACCTAAAGACAGATTTTGGGATGTTGAACTTTTGAGCTATATTAATATGCCATTTGAAAACTTGTTTTAGGTAGATACTTAGCATTAGAGTCAATCAAACTGTTTGTTGTGTTTTACCTTTCAGGTTCCTCCCATTTGAAACTGAATTAGGGACTTGTTACTCCTTTAACAACATATTAATAAACAACGAGTCAGCAATAGTCCTTAATAGAGCCGTTGGTCTGCTTAATTTGAGGCTAACTGCGACGAGACCTATTCAAGTATGTATAGCAAATATTTTATTTAAACTAATAACTAAATGCTCCGCGCCTAAATAACTACCTCTGTGGCCGAACAGTTACCATGTTGGTCTGCCACGCATATATTTGTATGGTCTACATTTATTTATCTCGCGAGTTTGGGCGTAATTTGTGGTTATCTATGTATGTATCCATGGCATCCGCGATACAGGGTTTTTAGTGCACGCTATGAGTTTTTGCGTTAAAAAAAGAAATAAAATCGAATCGATATTGATAATTTGAAACCAGTGACATCATGTACCTGCGACTTTAGGGTTTAAGTTACATTTAAGTGACTTTGTGTTGTTTAGTAGCAATATTTTCCGCTAACTTTGAAGGAGAACATCGTGACGATACCAGCAAGTCGAAGAAGGTTCACAAGCCTTGGAAAATATACGGATTTCTCAGTTCGCATTAGTCTAAAGTCTAAACCATTTTTAGATTCAAATGTAAGTGTGCATTTAACCTCCATCTCACCTGATGGAAAGTGACGATGAAGTCGACGATGGAGCATGCACACCTAAATAATGCGTATTCACTCTCGCCTTGAAAAGGTCCAAGTTATAACGTTCAGGGAACAAGTTTGCAGGCAGGGAATTCCACTCCTGTGCCGTTCGCCATATATATGTGGAAGCGTAACGCTTTGTGTGAATCTTTGGAATATCCACAAAATAGGTGTGGAATCCAAACCTACGCCTAGTCCCCCGATGATGGAAAGGGGAAGGCGGAATTAAACCGTGTAATTCCAACGCACACACTTCGTGATATTTCCTGGAAAATACCGATGAGCAGGCAACTTTACGGCGGTGTTCAAGGCTCTGCAGCTTTGCTTCTACTCTTGGCATGCTTGTCATTTGAATTCAAGGTGGCCAGTTGGTATGTAGCCATCCCAAATGGGGCAGCAGTACTCTACACACGACCGGACTTGTGCTTGATACAGCTGAAGCAAATGTCCCGGTGTGAAGTAACGCCTCACCCTAGAAAGGATGCCAAGCTTCCTGGCTGCATTTTTGGCCACGGATTCAATGTATCTGCCGAATTTCAGATTGGACGACAGGTCCATTCCAAGTAGCTGGAGACGGTCGGCTATCCGTATGGATATATCACGAAAAGTCGAGGTCAGCTCAAAGGGACTCCGTTTTGTGGAGAATGGACACGCCTGCGTTTTGGTAGCATTAAATTTGACAAGATTGGCATCGCTCTAATCAGAGACTTGAGTGTGAAATCCGAACGGTTGACCTTGCATTGGCCAAGTACCTACAACTGTGCCGTCATCAGCATACGCATAGGAGCCTGGAAATAGCTTAATGAGACTACTAGTGCAACTCCATACAAACGTATGACTTTTTTGACGGCGTAGATTGTATATGTTATAATAAATTAACGCGGAATCGTCTTGATACGCTCGTGTTTAACCAGAAGGTCTATCACGAAATACGATACTATGTGACAACGAAGCTCATACGACAGCGTCGTAATGAAGTTGACTTTACTTTCATAGTAAAACTGATATGTGTAGCACGTATGAACTTCGTTGTCATGTAGTATTGTATCGATACATCCAATTAACACTACGCCAACTTTATTTATTGGTCATTTTCTGTTATCTTTGTAAAGCCATGTTTATTTACTAATATTGTGCTCCCCAAATTTTGTGAAAAAATTAAATTAAAAACAAAAAACAAAATTCGAAAAATAAACTTATTTTACCATTTCTTTACTTATCTATTTTTAGTGCCACCTCAAAAACCAACTTTCTTCTCAGATTTTAATAGGTTAGTTGGAAGAAATCTCTTTATGGGATAAGCTCGCTTTTGTACACAAATATTTAAATTGTTTCTGAAAATTTGTAAGTTTCTTTGTGGTACAATAAAGTGTTTAAATAAATAAATAAATAATAAACAAAAAAACTGATTTTGTGATAAAAATAATAAAGAAACAAAATAAAAACAGAACTGGTCCAAAAGTTAAGTTTTCGTAGTATTCGTTGGAGGTATTGGTATTTCGTAGTAGACCTGGATCAGCCGTCGTCGGCATGCGTACGGACGCAATCAGAAATTCGCAGGAAGCAGATTCATTGCCGACCTGTGTCGAGCCGCTTTCGTACGAACCGATGCGAAACGCACGTCGTTTTCACTCTTACGCTCATGGACGTAAAGCTTTTTCTGACCGGCTTAATGCCATTATGCGTTAATAAGTGTGACTCCCTGATCTCGCGATACACTCGAGTTGAATAGCACGGGGCACACGCGCATTTCATTACAGAATTCAGCGTTCGCTCGGTGTTCAAAATATTTTTCTGTGTCAAATTTATATTTTTTTTATTTATAAATATATCGTATACATTTCTATTTCATGATTACACACTCATAATAGGGATACTAATATAAAATATACCAATATGTAAGTACTGCATTGGACAAAGGTTATTGCAATATAGCACAAGATTGTGAAGTCAGGACAAGATAATATAGGTGTAGATACGAGAGCTTGTTTAATTGAATTGAAAGCTTTTTCAGCTTCAGGGGTCCATTTAAAGGGTGGAGCTTTTTTACTAGTAGACGTAAGTTTGGTCAAGGGAGCTGCCATAGTACTTAAATTAGGTACGAAGGGTCTATACCAACTGGCTGTACCTAAGATTTTTTTAACTTCCTTGTTAGTTTTCGGGGATTGAATATCTAGAATGGCTTTAACTTTGTCCGGATCTGTATGAATCCGAAATCGACCTATTGTATATTTAACATTGTAAATGTCACCCACATGTTTGCTAAATTGATTGAGGATCACACACCCGATCCTCATTAGTTTAATTTAATTTAGTTAGTTTACTTTAATTTAGTTTCAAAACTTAAACTTTTTTCCGGTCCACAAAATTTGTTAAAGAAGTAAAGTTTAAAGAAAGGGCTATAACAATAAAAAGGTAAATGTAAAAAAAACAAGTACAATAGTATAAAACACTCCCTACACTTTATTATTAAGGCACTTACCCCTAAATGGGCCGAGTAACTGAATTACAGATATAGGTACACGAAGGCTGTAGACTTATAAATTATTACACATGATTTAGCTTATTAAATGATTACAAACGTAGTAATGAACCAGAATTAGCGATTATTCGCGATGGAATTTGGAACAGCTCCGACTGTAGTGGCGGTCGAGCTGGGAGTAACCGTGGTACGAAAATAAAATGAGAAAGTGAAGGAAGATGGAACAATTCAAATTTAAAATTTAAATACACGTAAAATAAAAAATGATAGGATACAAGCGGAGAGAGGCGATACAAAGAGGTGAGATGACGGTGTAAGGAGGTCACACCGTCACAAGATTACTGTGATGAATACCTTCTTTTTTTCAAATTTTGTGTACAACCTGTAGGTACAACTAAAATAAAATAACGACAACCCTAACTTCGAGTGACGTGTAGGTAATAATGATGTGGCGAACTAGAGTTACACTATTTGTCTTATGATAATACCAAGTCAAAATCCTTAGAATAGATTCGTGTCCAGTAGTCAAACGTATAATGATTTTCTTTCAATCTTTATTCTTTAAAGAGTTTTGTTCCACTGAACATCTCACTGTCATAATGAAACATGCCACAAAAAGGGTACAAAATATAATCAATCAGATTTGTCTGTTCATAAGTCCCAATTAATTAATAATAATGTTGATAATTGTAAGTAACGCCTAATAATGATTTAGTAGACGGAACGAGCATTACGAATATTTTATGGGGTTATCAGTCAGGTCACCGACTTCAAGGACACGTTTATTTTTTTATAATACTAAATGCGGGAAGTCGTGCGCCTAGTGCGACACGCCTGTCCATAACAGTTGCAGTGCCACTCAGAATTTTAAATCGTAAAGATCTGAAGAGCGCTGCCACTTCGACTGTCAGCTTGGATAATAACTTGACAAGTCCCATGTGCCTGTAATTTCACCAGGACCCTTACCCTTCAAAACCAGAACGCAGTAATGCTCACATCGCTTGACGGTAGAAATAGGTAAGGTGACAGTACTACCATGGAAGAACATGAAAGAAACTTATTAGTAGCAGTCTCTACTGCTACTAATATTTCTGTCACTAATGTTTCTGCTACTGTAAAATGAGTGCATCTACATTTAGAAATATGCAATAGAACCAGCGCATATATAATGCCACCGTAAAATGAGTGCATCTACATTTAGAAATATGTAATAGAATCAGCGTATAATAATGCCACTGTAAAATGAGTGCATCTACATTTAGAGCTTGTTTAAGAGATTAAAAATAAGTTAAGTTATTATCGTGGTAGTGCCTTTACAGGGTTCATGTGCTGGAATAATATTATGTAACACATGTGTTCATCCACATGACACAATGAATAAATTAATTATGAAATATGTAATAGAAACAGCGTATATTATGTGTACGGGCGCTTTCAAACTAGACCTTTATTTGTGTGGCGCTGCAGCCGCGCTACTATTAATTTTCATACATTATTTAGCGCGGTTGTAGCGCCACTGTCGTGTCACTTTTGCAGTCCCAATTAGTGAACTAAAAATCATTAAAGCCCCGCATTGTAATTGAGGTGCATGACGAGTTTAGGTCTTAAAGGAAATAAAGGTAAAAGACATTGTTTTTATTGACATACTTAAGAATTCAATCGTTTTCAGTTGAGGGCGCACGCACCTAATGACCGCATAACAGTATCTATGGACAACATCTTGGGTCGTTCCACTTCTTTCTTACCTATGATTTCTGACTTCGATGCTATTTTAAAGGTAGGGTAAATTAAACAAGTTAGGAATTCATCATTGATGAAAATGACGAAAAGAAGTAGTCACAAAATTGATCCCTGAGGAATTCCATAACTGAATAGCGTTTATTGTGTACCATTTGTCGTTAGACTTAAGTCATCGATACAATATAGTACCCAATATCTAAAAGTGCATCTTCTATCTTTAGAGAGTCTTACCTGTCTTAAGATGGAGTAAAATGGATCTAAAGTATAACGTCAGAAGCTAAGTTTAATTCAACATTGTCTCCCGTAATTGATTTCTCAGATTCTTCAGATTGACCAGACTAGCTACTAATAGGTTTTAGCTATATCACTCAAGTGAAATATTATAAGTGAAAGCAAACATCGCGTGATTTCGTAACATTAAAACGACAGTTTTGGGATCGGCTTTTGAGACGATGCGATGTTACAATGACATCGGTCGTTAACGCTTACAACTAGTTATAACAGTAGTTATAAGTTTTTTATCACGATATTATATTTTTATTTTTCTCTCGGTATTTTAAAGTAGTTACAAAGTTTTGAAGACAGAAATTCTGTCTACCCTTTTCCGCTGTCGATAACTACCCTCGTCTAAACTTCTTGCCGTGTTACCATTATAATAATTTTTTTCAGATACACTGCACTCACTGTATTTCATACGTAAGACTGAAGCCATTCTTGTTTTTATTATTGTTATTGTAAATATTAAGTACCGGTCTGCATGCACTGAACAGTTTAAATCCGTCTCTAGAAGCATATACTATATTCATGTGTTTAATTTTGTTGTAACACGTTTAATAAATAACATTGAAAATTTTAAAATACGTATAACTTTATTAATTTGTCGAGACTACTGTGCACCATTTGTATGTGCAATAAAAATCAATTTCAACAATATGACTATATATTTCAGGTCGAACAAACAATAAGCGACATATCAGTGACAACCCTATCCGTGGCCCTACGTGGCTGTTTGTTTAAGCACGAGCACCCTGCATTTGCTCAGCTGTGGCCGTTCAAAGAGTATTCCTATAACGCATGCGTGCTGTACTGCCGCGCTATGCAACAGGTCGAGCTTTGTAATTGCACACATTTCTTCATGCCTCAGCTAAGTAAGTATTTGTGCAACGTTAAAGAACAATGGCGAAATCACAGTTAAAAGATTTGTCAAGAGAGTTGTCAAAAGAATCAAATGCCTTACTTACAAGCTTGAATAAAATAAATTCATTAATTTTTCAAATTATAATAGCGGCATATCTAATAAAATCCTATTTAAAAGAAACTCTAATGACTAATTAATAGGTAATCGGACTGATATCTACAACTGTCAGTATCTTAGTTTCTTAACGTTGAGTGACATCTAGCCGCCAAAAACAGAATTTCAGTACCTACGTATGGATATGGTCTACATTTAGTTTACGTAATATCAAATATACTGATTAGACCGATTTGTAATAAGCTAATAAGAGATTAACTACTTAATTAGAAAAAATAAAGTAGACAATTTCTTCTCCAAAATGCCTCGCAAGAAAATGGTAAAAACTGATAAAAAAGTTCCTGAAATCAGGGATAGATGGCACGTTTAACAAAAAAAATAATTTGTGTCCGAGTTATCAGTGCAATAGTCTGTGGTATGTATTAATTAACCCCATTGACTTACAAAAAGTCAATGATTAACCCAGTTTTTTTGTTATGGTTTAACTTCGTGCCTTTTGACCATACCAGAATAAATAAATAATTTCCTCTCAACTTTCGTCACATCACAAACCCCCACCACCATAAAGCTTCCATCATTGCAGTTTCCATTAGCTCTCTTTACGGCTTCTGTAGTTCTCCAAATATATTTTATTCAATTACGTAACATATTTAACCTCCAAAACCTCAAACTACAATATTTTTAATTCCAGACATCTGAAAAGTAAACCCAAAATAAAATTGTTCAGGAATTTCAACTCTTTTCACATATTTTTCATAAACAGACAAATACAAATTACGTCAACAAATATTAATATAGGAGTTTGCCATTGTTCTTTATTGTTTGACTACGACTCTACACTGATGTAATGGTCGACCACAATAGCATATTTAAAAAAATAATAGTGACTCAGTTCACAGTTATTTGGCCTCACTGGCTGGAGTCACTAACATCGTTCACAGAATTAACAAGTTAGAGCAACGGTGGGCCGTCCTTCTAGCTCGCAACTACTAATTACCCAGTTGTAAATTAGGATAAAGGGATAGTTTACTTCCTGGTGAAAATCCGTTACAACGGGAAGTCGTAGCATTAACAAATTGAAGTGGAAGTAAGCAGACAGCCGATGATGTAGCCGTATGGTTTTCAACTAAAACAGTGTATGACGACTCCACGTTTAACCTAGTAGTATTAACTTTAGATGTTATTGGTATCTTTTGTCATAGAAGTGAATTGGGCTTTATCTATTTCAAATGTAGACCGTGGCAAATCGAAACGTGCATGGTGAGAGTCTATTCTGGTGATCCATATTCAATAGCGGATCATATTTCTGCTAATTCCAAAATGATATTACGGAAATATTGATTCTATTATGAGTACCAAAGTTATTAAACTCAGGAGCAATGTCCTGAACGCTGGCTAGAGTCAATTTTGAAAAGTTTCTTTCCTAAATTAGTTTCATTCGTGAGTGTTTTTTAATTGCAGTGTTAAAGACTTTCCGAAACTACTGTTTGAAACAAAATTAAAACAAAGCAATTTGAAAAATTTTGTGCTTACTCTCAATCGTACAGATTTGTTGGTAATGAAAATAGAGTTGTATCCAATCTGGTACTTATTTAAATAGTAAAAGTTCCGAAAATCGAATTGAATTGCAGGAAATAGTGTTTAACTTTAATAGTAACTAAGCTGCTTTAGAACTAGTTACTGAAAAATTTATACAGAATATATCGACAATTAATCATATTTAGCAAACAATCAAGAGATTGTTATAATTCTACGAAAATAAAACTGTACTTACTTCCGAATAAACTTCCGAAAGAAATTCTAACTTACCGAAAAGACTTATTTTTCAATAAAAACACCAGAAGAACTAGCTTAGTTTATATTATTGACTGTAGATTTACTTTTTCGACTCTCAATTTTAATGAAAGTGCCCACTAAAACTAAACGCGATGTCCTCTGGTTAATTTTCAAATTGAGCTTTTTCTACAAGTTCTTGTGGAGTCATTTGTGGTAAACAAATCAATGTATAATGTCTTCTTTTTCTTTTTACTATAGTGGTGAATCTTTTGTATATTTCAGAAGGCGTTCCTGTCTGTGAAATCCCAGGCTTGGCGTGCCTTTATAACAACAAGGGTACGTATACAGCTGCAGTGATATTAATTTCTTCTATTGTTTGGATCGGATCTAGATGTTAGAAATCCCGAGGCATTAATATTTTCTTTCTAGGTCGTAAACAATATGAATTACGCTTCACGACATCAGTTACGATAATCAACATGTTGTCCGTTGTTTGTATTATAAGAAAAGTAGACCTAATTTCACAACTTTGAATCAGAGTGACAACATCATAAAACAAAAAGTATTTCTGTTAACAAAAGGCACCTGGTATCATGGTATAAACGCTGATATTAAACGAATGTGGTTTGTGAAGAGATATATTTGTAGAAAGTTCTATACAACTATTTGCAGATTACGTTTCGGTCATGGACGTTTCAATGGACACCTACATAGAATGCACATGATCTCCTCCCCGTCGTGCAATCACTTGTACTATTCCAATTAATCCTTGCATCATATATTTTTCGATTTCCCACATTTTTCTATCCCTAGAATAATCATCATCGATAACCTTCTTGAACTGTACAAAACCTCTGAAAACATCACGCGTTCTTTATCAGATCTCCTGAAAAATCAAGAATGTTGTCCAATTTTATTTCATTTCGTAAGAAGTACTATCGAAGACATAAATTTGTAATGGCATCCAAGAAAGAAATTACTCTCAGTCTTGGCTCTATGGCGCATTAGTGCCTTTGCCTTTTCCACAATGGAAAAAACAATACCAAAAATAAAAGAAAGCAGTATTATATATTCCAATATGCTCTCTTAATATTATCAGCATACACTTAACTAAGAACTTAGTAACAGCAGAGCGTTTTGTGAAAGAGTTCGTCCAGGGAAATACTGCCACCTTACCTATTACTGCCGCCAAGTAGTAATGTCAGTATTACTGTGTTTCCGGTTTTAATAGTAAGGAAGCTGGTGAAATTACAGGCACATGGGACTTGTCAACTTGTATCAGGGTGACGGGCGCAGTGGCAGTGCCCATAAAATCTTTGCGATTTAAAGCTCAGAATGGCACTGCAACTGTTATGGATAGACGTGTCGCTTACCACCAGGCGCACGACTTGGTCGTTCCGCCACTTGGTATCATAAAAAAAGGTCTGTATTTCAGATAACCTGGTTATCGTAGACTGCGAATGTCCAATGGCTTGTGAAGAAACAAATTACAAATTGATGCACGTGTTCTACTTGTAAGTATTTAATGTAAATATATATGTACGATAAGTGTTGTCGACAAACTAAGGAGTGTATCGAAAAATAAATCGATACCTTCTACGTGTAATATTGTAAACCACAACATAGCATTTTTCCTTTTTAACTTAAATATGTTTGAAAGTAAACAGAACAGTAAGTAATTTCTTTACTTTTAAATATGGTTTACGGTTGACAACCTCACATTTATAGTTTAGCACATAAATAGGCAATTAATTTAGTGTTGAGGGGATGAATCCGGTTTCACGCACTTTCCGGTAACCGATTACAATAAAACTTGGCAAACAGAATTCTTTTCATGAAACGTGAGGTTGTTTTTTTTTTAATAAAAGAGTTATAAAGAGTTTTTAATAAAGATTTCTCATAGATGGCGCTACGACTAAAAAGTCGTTGAAAAATCAAGTACAAAG